AAATAGTAATGAAACATAGGATTAATATATGTAGTGAAAGTTGAGTTAAGATCTAAAATCGAGAAATTCTATGAGGTTTTAAAAGGATGGGAAGAAGGTTGGGTTGGGTTAGGGTTAAAGGAATTTAGTTAGGGTTAGGGTTAGGGTTGGGTTGGGTTGGGTTAGGGTTGAAGGAATTTAGTTAGGTTTAGGGTTAGGATTGGGTTGGTCGGGTTGGGTTGGGTTAGGGTTGAAGGAATTTAGTTAGGGTTAGGGTTAGGGTTAGGGTTGGGTTGGTCGGGTTGAAGGTCGGATTGGGTTAGGGTTGGGGTTTAGAACTTAGGGTTGGGCTAGGGTTGGCCTCAACCTGACCTAACCCGGCCCGACTTGCAGCCCTAGTGGTCTTCATACTAGAGTCCAAGGATCTAGCTTTAAGGTGAATAAAAAGAAAAGGAAGGGAATAATTTTCTTTCTGGTGATTGGTTAAACAAGAGAAAATGAGAGAAAAGGTCAGTGGAGGAGCACTTTCCAAATTTCAGAGAAATAGACAGAGAGCAGGTTCCCTTGTTATCTTCTCATTTTGGACCAGTGTGATCCCGTATCCCTAAAATACTTTTCTTCAATGCAGTACATTATCCATCAAATGAAACTACTCTAAAAAAGGATATCATGATTCACTGCCTAAAATCTCATGAATTGTTCTTTGACTTTTCGATGGATGATACTTTGAGGAAGTGGCTAGAACTTCRTCGAAGAAACCCAAGATTAATAGGCCCTGGACACCACCAGCTGGAAGATTCCTAAAACAAAACTCTGATGGGAGTAGTAGAGAGAACCCAAGTCCTGCAGGTATCAGAGGCATTTTCAGAAATTAAATAGGTCATGTGATAGCATTATTCTCAGGACCGATTGACATAGGTGATTCCTTGAAGACTGAAATAAAGGCAGTTATGGAAGGAATTCAGAAAGCGAAGGATATGAATGTGCACAGTTTGGTCGTTGAAGGAGATTCACAATTTGTTATTAATTGTCTCCTAAAAATGGGAAATGACCTATGAATGTACAAAAATGAGTTAAAAAAAAAGTTTAAATGGTTGACCAGGGGTATGGCTGTAAAAGTTCAATGGGTTTAAAGGTTGGCTAACAGCATGGCTGATTCCTTAGCAAAACAAGGAATGGGGGGGGGATCAATTAATTTTGGGCTCAATTGAAAATTAGGGTTAAGGTGATTTGGAGATAAGGAAACCGCCATCAGTAAAACAGTATAAGGAGTGGGGAGGGATCGTTTGCTCCAACTAGGGCTGTTCATAAGAAGGCCCAACCCGACCAAACTGACCAACCCGAGTCGGCCAGGTTTTCATCAGCACTGGTCGGTTTCGGGTTGGGAAAATTCATAAACCGATATATCGGGTCGGTTTTGGTTTTCTTGTGTGAAAACCGAAACCGACCTGAACCGAACCGAACCAATTAGTCTTCTAGCTAGTTCCTACTTAACCAAATTGTATCTATCCTAGTTTCTATAGTCTTTTACACCAAATAGGCAACTAATTAGGCAATTACAATTAGAATTAGGTGTCCTTTTTTACTTAGATTAGAATTTAGAAAGTTTCTTGAAATATAAATATTTCAGCCTTCTTTATATAAAACAGTTTGACTTTCTATTTTATTGATAACTTTTGTCTTACTTGACACTTGTTTTTACATGAAGAATTTATTGATTTTATTCTTTACCTGAATTGAATTCAGATTTATCTTAGACTCTTGAACAGCAACTAATTCAGATTTACATGAAGATTTATCTTGGACTCTGAATTGAATTCAGATGGCTGAAATGATGGTCAAATAAATTTCCTTCTAGTTCTAGGCTTCTCTGTCCTTATTGTACAAGAGCAAAACCGAAACCAACCGAAACCAACCCAACCCGACTCAAACCGACCAGGTCGGGTCGGTTGGGAAAACCCCAGTAAACCAACCCAACCCGACCCGTGAACAGCCCTAGCTCCAACTCAAACGATCTTAGCAAAACAGTATAAGGAAATCACCATCAGCTAAGTACCTGAGTCAACCTTTTGTCAGCTTGTGGCATTGCAGTTTCAAACATTTTTGGGATTCTTCCCAAGATCCATCAATGAGCATTTCAACTGCCAGAAAGTCGCTGACCTGAGTAGAAAGGATTTGGCAGCATAGAGGTGTTGTATCTTATTAATTATGCAGGCCATGTGGTAGGAAAGAAACAACAAGATTTTCATGGGCAGAAGCCAATCCTTAGAGAAAGTACTAAGGAACACAACTGGGATGATAATGTATTTGTTGTTGGTTCATATGATTTCAGGGGCTTCGAGGTTGGTTCTTTTTTGAGTCAATTCCCTCTTTGTTTATAGTTGACTTCTTTTTGTAAATGGAATTAACTGCCATGAAACATGTGTAGGATCGCAATGTACATGGAGGGTTCCATCCCCCTTTTTGTGACTAATACAATTTTATTACCTTCAAAAAAAAAAGGAAAAAAAGGACCCAAATCAACCTCTTGCATCAGTTCAATCACCCCCAAGAGTCTCCGTTTTTTATTGGTTGCTCTCTGATAAATCTAGAATGCACCAAAATGCCTGATCTTCCCAAATTCCCAATGCCACAACCATCATAGTCAAACATATTAATGATTTGAAACATTTAGTCAGGAAGATTTACAGTGCAATACATATTCTAGGTGATCTAATGGTGAAATCACATACTGTTGCCTATGCAGTTTATGTGACAGAGGCTGAAGTAGCCTCTTGTCATCTAATCTCCTCACACATGTCCTCTCCAAAAAATTTCTGGGCCAAGAAAGTTTAAAGGAAAGCGATAGCTAAAGTTTAATCATAATCACCATTAACAACCATATTCTATATAAAAAAAAAAAAACAATAAAGCAAAGATCATTTTGGTGCTTACGGAACAAAAACAGCATTATACTCCTGCTCCAGGCATATTACACATAAATCTGGCATTAAACGGTCCCTTTTTGTGTTATCTGATCCGTTTTCAGCTTTTCCATCAGAACCTGCACATTAATTCCAACACTCCAGAAATTTACAACAACAAGACCAAGTAACAAAAACTAGAATTTAGCAACATACCTTCATTATCTTGACCTAATTTTTGTGCAGCAGCAGCAAGAACCCTGCAATCACAAAAAAGCCATTACATTTTCCTTTTCAGGAGGAAATCAATTAGATGCACAACTAGAAAAAAAAATGAGATAAGTAGGAGATAAATCTGGTCATCTGTTAGTCAGATTGTAAGAAATCAACCAATGATAAATGACCTACTAAAGTAGAAGAGTGGTAACATAAATATGATAACATTTTAAAATGAGCTAAGTTGAATCTCCAACAAAAACATAACTATGCAAAAAGATAAGGAAAAAAAAAAAAACAGTGCATCTATGACTATGCATGACAATAACTGGATATGTCAGCCATTTTTCTAAGATAAAAATAAAATATTATTAAAATGAAAAAGAAGATTACGAGAAGGATGACCAGCAGTCACCTGAGCCAAGGAAGGTCAATAGAGAGAAAAAAGAACAACATGCCAACCCCACCCACTTACACCTCCAAACTTCAACCTGAAAAACACCACCAACCAATTAAACCATCTACATGAAATCAAAAAACCCAGACCCCAGTGCCATCAGCATTATAGCCTCAATCCACTTCCCAAACCTCCAATCACTTATCTCTGCCAAGAAATTGAGCACTCGCCCTATTTATTTTCCTTCTGAGTTTTCTCTGTTTTCTTCACCATCCTGATAGGACCTAACCCAAACAAACCCCCTCTTAACCTTGCAAAGACTTTTGAGACCTGAACCTCCAGGTGCTTCTAGATCTGTTATGTCTCCCAACCTTTTTTTTTATCAGAAAAGGTGATTTTATTAAGAAAACGATATGAGAATTAGTACAGAAATTGAGTAGCCTCGGCTACCCCATTGTCCTTTAAAATTCCACCTAAGGTTTTGCTTTACATCCTTACAACTGAGCCCAAAACCAATGTTCCCTATTAGCCCCTTGCTTCACTAGCTGGTCCGCAAACCCATTTGCTGCTCTTGGAGTCCACTGAAATAATAACTGCATGTCCTTGGTAATGTGACTAAGTTTCTTGATCTCATTTCTGAACACCCATGGAGTCTTTCCATTCTGCTTTAGCCAGCTTATAATTACTTTGGAATCACCTTCTACAACCAGCTTTTCACACCTATTTCCATGGCTTTTCATATTCCAAAGACCACTGCTTTTAGTTCATCTGTAATGGAGTCTCTCCATCCAATAGGGCCCGAATACAGYCCCACTACTTTCCCCATGTCATCTCTTATGATCCCACCAATTCCAGCCACACCTGGGTTGCCAAAGCTGCTCCCATCAAAGTTTAATTTGAGGAATCCAGATTCAAGAGGATCCCAACTTCTTAACACCTTCTTTTTTGCTGATGACAACAATGCTCCAGTCCTCCAGTTCCTGATTATATCATCTGCAGTAAAGTCTGAGAATAAACCCGTAGATTTTACCCATGAGATCACTGTTGTCATAATCCCTTCTATCAGTAATTCCTTACACCTTTTCTTTCCTTAAAAAATTCTCAGATTTCTTTCCTCCCATAACATCCAAAGCACTGCTGCCTGTGTGCATCTCCACAGAGTTATTTCTCTTCTTTTTGGCCACCTGAAAGTGAAGGCGTCAAACACTCTTCCCAAGCTCACTGGGGTATCCCACCTGCATCCAAAGAGAAAAGAACCATTCCCATATGCAGCTAGCTACAGCACAGGAAACAAAAATATGATGAGCAGTTTCACCATTTGATTCACACAAGCAGCACCAATTAGGTGAAAAGCACCATCCAGGCCTCTTCATCTGCATCAGATGACAGGTGTTAATTGCACCATAGTAAACCTCACAACAGAAAGAACCCACTTTGGGGGGAATAGGGTGACATCAGACTTCTTGGACTGGGAATTGTAACCCAGGTTGATTAGAGGTCAAGGTTTTGAAAAAGGAAGCATAACTGAAAGCTCCAAGGGATTAGGAGTCCAGAGTCTACTATCTTGCTTAGCAGGATCAATAAATACCCTGTCAAGCGGCTGAATAATAGAAGACACCAAATCCAGTTCAGAATCTCGCACATTTCTGCGGAGACCCAGATTCCAAGCAAAACCAGACTGTGAAGGAGAAGGGGAAAGGAAATCAGCAACCGGTGTCTCCCAACCTTGACATTCTATTTAAGAGTTTTCTGGTCCTTACATCTCTCATTAATCCTTTCTAATTCCAGAACCATGTTCTTTTCAAAAGTCTGAGATGTGGCCAACTCTCCATTCTCTTTTTCAGCTTCTCTTGGAAAATCTACTTTGTCATCAACCTATGAAAAACAGATTTCCATGCCGACTCCAAGTCCTCTCTCTCACGACCCTTCTCCTTCATCTCCTTGAATGCCTTCCTTTCAGCTTCTTCACCTCCCAGAAAAAATAATCCCATAATTTTGCTCACTTCCACCTCCTTATTAATCACTGTTTCCAAATCAACTAAGCAGTAAGCACTTCATTTTAACACCTTCGACCACCACCTTCCTCCCTTCTCCTACTACCAACCTCTTTGCGTCTTCTTCCATTCCACCTCTAGAAGCCAGATCAGATGATATTTGATCTTCACTTTCAGTTCGTTGCAAGTCTATATTCTAAAAATTTTCCTGCAAAAAGTTATTGCCTCTGAACGCTGCCTTGCCACCATTACTTCTAATTTGGTTGTTCCTATCCTTCCTTTCTTTTTCTGCTATATCTGTTTCAACTCTAGGCCGAACCTCAAAAACCTTCTTACTTCTGCTAGACCCTGACCCTGACCCCTCATTCCTGACACTTGGAGGAATCTCCTTGTCATTGTAAAAAAAGTTTGCCATTTCTAACCACCTAATTCTCTCAACCTCATTGCCAACTGGCTTCATGAACACTTTCTCATCAATCTCCCTCTTAAGTCCAATGGGAGAAGGCCAGAACTGCACCACCTTGATGACAACAGCAACCTGATCAAACTCCTTCCTCTAAATGATCAAAAGAGGTACTAGCAGTGGGTCATAAAGTGGCTACTAGCCTGTACACCTCCACCACCTGATCAAGTTCTAAAATAACAGAAATATGGGATGAAGTAGCTGGACATTGACCAAGGTCCAGTGATACAATAGTTACAGCAGCTGATATAGCTGGGGACTTCAGGGTTTAAAGCTACCTCTTTCAATTTTTCAATAATTTCTTGCATATATGCAGACCAGAAATGAATATTTTAAAATTCTTTTGTAAAAGGTAAGGTATTTTATTAAATCACATAACAGTACAAAGGAGCCTAGGCCAGTAGAGGCTGCCTAGAGCCACCTCAGATTACAAATGCATCCAAGACTGAGAACTAAACAACAATCGCATGTTCTGATTTTTAAACTCCTCCGTTACCGACACCCAAGACAGTAATTTGCCCACAGCTTTCTGCACCATTTCCTCTGGAGATTTAGCTTTACCCTGAAAAATTCTGTTGTTTCTTTCAATCCAGATAGTCCAAATCACCGCAGCCGGAATAGTGTTCCAAACCATTTCTTCCTCAGACCCTCAATTCTCCAACAATACAGCAGTTCCTTCACAGAATTTGGCATTACCCAACTGACTTCCAAGGCCTGAAGGAAATGCCTCCAAATATAAATYGAAACTGGGCAATGCAAAGAAAGATGCTCAATAGTTTCTGCTGACCCACCACACAAGCCACATGACATGTCCAGAATCTGAATGCCACGTTTCATTAGATTAACTCTGATTAGACACTTATTTAAAGCCATTGTCCAGAGCAGAAACTTCACTTTAGAACTATATTGTTATTATGTCAGATATATTATATATTGAATTTCCCAATATATAAGTCTTTGGTGAATAATATATTAGTCAACACTATTAAAATACAGTGAGCACATTATTAAATGTTACTACAATATTATACTGTTCCATATATAACAGAATATTGACTTCTTATTATAGTTCATGTGTATAAGCATAAAGACCACTGTTAATATAATGTATCCATTATCACAGAAATTTTATGTTAAAACTTAAAACCATATATCCCTCCTGCAATTCCTAAATTTCTCATCTCTCAAGAAACAATATGAATAAAAACATAAACCCATTGATCACTAAGATACAAAGCATCAATCTGATTGGTGGCATAACACAACATGATATAGTTCCTCCAAAAATACCCATGTCTTTCTTCATACAGAGCACATAATACAAGTGTTGTTCACATTGTGCGATGAAAATCCTTATAAGCATATTGAAGAGCAAAGGTTACAGAAGATATTGCACAGATTACATATCCATATGCACCAGGGAATTAAACGACACTACTATCTTTTAGTAGTAAGAATACTGTAATCAGACTCAAATACAGATACTTCTTTTTTCTATCAGCAATACAGAGACATCCATTTGGCTAGAAGGAATAAATAAATGCTTATGTATTTGGTGGAATATTCAGTCAATACTCAACCATATACTTTTAAAGATAATAAAGTTCACCTTCTCTGCAAATCCCAGCGACGTCTCCTTTCCATGATATATTGAATGGCATGCTTAGCAATCAAATAAACACCAAAAACTGTGAAACCCATGGAGGCATATTTGTACCACCTGATGGAAATACATTCATCAAATGAATGTACACATAGTGGAAAGAAATCAAAGAAAACTTGCACCAGATATATGTTCAGTGAACAACCTCGCCCATTTCCCAAGATTCGCAATTAGCTGATCAATACTTTTTGGAGAAACATAAAATGGTCCTCTGTGGGGTCGCTGAATCCGAATTGTTCCCACATCATCTTTGATGGCCTGAATAGAAGGGCAGGGAATGTTCAAGAAAATTGAAAATTTTAATTGCACTCTGAAATGAGAAAAAAAAATAATAATAGATTTGAGGCCTTCCTCTCAATTGCTAGGCTACCACTTGGATTGATATAGCCTTAACAACCAGCCTGAATGGCGGATTTTAGACCACCTCCCAACGCTTAAACACATATATCTGATGGCTATAGTTGATTAAATTCCCATCAATAGTGGTTGACCAATTGAACAATCTAAATTGATGAACCAGTGGGATTGAGGTTCATCAAGCAGCCCATGTCCACAATATCTTTATCTAGTCTCTCATGTGACAAATTGACAACAATAAAGAATGTTAGCCTCTCATGTGTGCAAGTATATCATATTTTCCCATTCATGCAGAACCTGTGAACCTAGACCCACTGTGTCATTCATGCTTGCACCTAAGAATGTACTTTCTTTCACCAAATACCATATAGGCCCAATCTCTCCCTCCCTCTAACTGAATTGGATAATATTATCCCTATACTTTACAAAATGAATCAGATAAATGGCATACAGTTCAAGAACTATAAACACATCTCTAAATGGCAAAGGCATTATTAAAAAACAAAAATAAAAAGGATTGATGCAGCCATGGTGGACTTCTACCTTTTTGACTGTATAGAAGAATAGGGAATCATCACTCCCATAGTGAAGCCCATATAGACAACGAGTTTATACAACCAACTCTATCCTTGAGTTAGCGATGACCACTGTGTACAGTGGCAGAGCCAGGAATTTTCTTTTAGGGGGGCAAGTTAAACAAAAAGATGAGATAGGGAGTAGAAATAGGGTTGGGGAAAAATGGCCTGAGAAGGTTTGGACCTATTACAGATTTTTTAAAATTAAAGAAAAAATAAATATTTTTTTATTTTGGGAGTTGGAGGAGCTTTAGAGAGTGATCCTTTACATTTTAGTTCAAGTTTGGGGTTTGGGGTTTGGAGTTTGGGGTTTGGG